TTCGAGTGTTTGGATTATGTGGTATATCATATGATTTCACCTGAGGTTGCAGGTATGGGTTATTACAGTTGGTGCGGGTTTATTCTGGGTATAGATGTGAAGTTCTGATCTTGTGTATGATTTCGGAAAGTGCAATGTGGTTCTACGGTTTATGGTTTAGATGGACTGTGAAATTTCAGCTATGTTGTGTTATCGGACCTATGCGAGATAGGGTGACGAGGGAACACCCCGGGTATATGCTTGGTAAGGTCATTCAGCTATTGGTTGGCTTCTAGGATAACTCTGGGTACGCTCGAGGACGAGCGTTGGTTTAAGTTGGGGAGGATGTGACGACCCGACCCGTCGTCTCATGTGTTACTGCTTCGTTTCTCCCATTTTATACTTCTTTATGTTTCGTTATCGGTATGTGGTGTGTTAGAGTTGATTTGGATTGGTTTTGATAAGAAATGAGACACTTAGTCTCTTTAAGGAAGACCTAAGTTGGAAAAGTCAACCGGAAGTTGACTTATGAGTTAGAAGGCTCGGATGTGATTTCCGGTGATTCGGTTAGCTTCGGGAAATGATTTGTGACTTAGGAGTGCGATCGGAATTGATTTTGGAGGTCCGATGTAGAATTAGGCTTGAATTGGCGAAGTTAGTATTTTGGCGAATTCCGGTTGATAGGTGAGATTTTGATCCGAGGGTCGGAATGGAATTCCGAGAGTTGCTGTAGCTCCGTTAGGTGATTTTGGATATGTGTGTAAAATTTCAGGTCATTAGGACATCGTTTGGTCGGGTTTTTGATCGAATGCGTAATTCGGAAGTTTTTAAGAAACTTAGGCTTGAATCCGATGTGATTTGATGGTTTTAGCGTTGTTTGAAGTGTTTTGAGGATTGGAACAAGTTTGAATAAGGTATTAGGATGTGTTGGTGTTTTTGGTTGAGATCCCGGGGGCCTCGGGGTGAATTCGGGTGGTTAAACGGAAGGTTTTTGGAGTTAATTGCAGGTTCAACCATGCTGGTATCTCTTGGTTTCGCACCTGCGGTTATGGGACCGCAAGTGCGGTCTCGCTGAAGCGATTGGAAGATGCGCAGAAGCGGAAGTCTTGGCCCTTGCCAGATTCCGCAGGAGCGGAAGGAGGACCGCATAGGCGGCCTCGCAGGAGCGGAATTTGGAACCCTGGTCAGGTTCCGTAGAAGCGGAACATTGGATCGCTTAAGCGGTCCCGCAGATGCGATTGGGGACCGCAGAAACGGAAGGTTGCCTTAAGTGAAAGGTCCGCAAAAGCATACGTTGACCGCATAAGCGGAAGCCGCAAAAGCGGTACTGGATCCGCAGAAGCGAAATGCCTGGCAGTTAAGTGAAAATTAATCATCTTCTCGAATTTTTGAAAGAACAACATTTTGGACTTCGGACTAAGGAGATTTTGGGCGATTTTTGAAGAGGGTTTCGAGGGCTATCATCAGATATGGCTTAGATTATGTTATTATTGTGTATAAACATGAATTAACACTGAAAACCCAAGGAATTAAAGGGTAAAAATGGGGTAAGTTAGGGTTTGAGAATTTTGATGTAAAAATGGAATTTGGAGGGTCAAACGAACTCCGATTTTGGTGAACTTTATATGTATGGACTTGTGGCGAGACGAGGAATCCGGTGATGTGAATTTCGTAATTTTTCGAGAAGCGGTCCCGGGGCTCGGGTTTTGCTAGTCTCGAGATTTCTGCTATTTCTTGGTTGTTTTCGATTGGGTATTGTTCCCTTGGCATATTGTGATGTACTCGCTCTGATTTTGGTTAGATTCGACGCGCGTGGAGGCCGATTCGAGGGGCAAAGGCGTCGCGGGCTAGTGATTTCGCCGGATCGAGGTGAGTAATGATTGTAAATGATATCCTGAGGGTTTGAAACCCCGAATTTGCACATCATAGTGTTGTATTGTGGTGACTTGCACGCCAGGTATGAGCGTGGGGTAGAGCACCGTTGGGGATTGCGACTTGGTCCGTCCCGGTTGTTGATTTTACTGCGTAATTGACTGAAACCTACTTGATGCTATCGTGATTTGGGTTGATTGCCATGCTTTGGGCTTCGTGCCGATTATTTGAATCCTTTAGGGATTATTATCACTGTTTTCATGACACTTAGCATATTAAATGATTTTAGTCCTGAGTTAAACCCTGTTTTGAAATGTGCAGTCATATTGTTAAAGTTTAAAGACTTAAATTGCATTTTTCTGATGTTTTGAGTTAAAAGCTATTACTTGACATTGCCCGAGTGGCTCATTTGCATGTTCTGGACTGAGGATGGATCGGGCTGCACGCCGCAGCGATACTATGATGATATTGCGCTTGGGCTGTAGGAGCCCCTCCGGAGTCTGAACCCCCACAGTGAGCGCGGGTACCCAAATGGATCAGGCTGCGCGCCGCAGCGGTCATGTGCATTGCATTGCATTCATGCATTTGTTCCTGTTTGTACTACGTGTCATGACATTCAGCACTCTCATATCATTGGTACCCATGCTACTTCTTGCACTGTTTACCAGATACCCTGGTGTTATTTGTTGATGGTGTGCTGTGCCCGAGGGGCTGACTTATGTGCGGACTTGCACTATCTGATTACGCATTCATTTGCTTGACTGTTGGAAAAGGATATTTTCAAAAGAGGTTTTTAACTGAGCCAAATATTTTCTAAAGGATTTTTCACGGTTTTACTGTTTTCTCAAAGGGTTGTACTGTCCTATATAGCATGATGGAGTGCTCTTACGTGATTTCTTGTCTCTCAGTTATTATTTACTCTTATTACCACTGAGTTGGAAGTACTCACTTTACTCCCTGCACCTCGCGTGCAGTTGCAGGTATTGTTCACCCGGTAGCGGGTGATTAGCGGACTAAAGGTAATACTAATGTAGCTGAGCAAGGTGACCGCCAGCGTTCGCGGCACCGGACTTCATCTTTTGGATTCCAGATTTCATTTTATATATATATGACCCTGTAGTTGTATTCCTATTTCTTAGATGCTCGTGGCTTGTGACACCCCGGTCGGGTTATGTGGGGTTGAAAATACTGATTATTATGGCCGTAAGTTGTATTATTCTATTCACTTATGTTTAGTAACTGTTAAAGAAATGATTTGGGTAAGTTGGCTGGCCTTGTCTTCATGAGAGGCGCCATCACGACCGGGTATGGGAATTGGGTCGTGACAAATATATAATAATGTATACCAGAAAAATAAGAAATTGTTAAACTTTCATAGAGGCCTCTTATATAATGATAACGTATATACACCTTTATATACACTGAAAAATATATAATTATACAATAATATACACAAATAAGCGGAATTTTCTCTCTCTTCTCGTTTCTCTAGGTGCACGTTAGGTGACTGCTAACTTGCGCATCTCTGGCATAGGGAAGGGACGACCGAAGAGGAATTCTACCAAGATGAAGGAGATTGAAGTACTACTCGGTCAATCTAATACCCGAATCCGAAGTGGAAACTCAGGAAAAGCTAAGGAGAAGTATACAACTAAGAAGGAAACAGAGAAGGATGATCCAAAATGGCCGATCCTGCATGCAGTTCGATCGGAGCCGAAAACACCGCACAATTCACCTATGCTAAACCTAAACAAATCAATTGTGAAAACACCAGAGCTACCAAAGACAAATCAGGAGAACACCCTAATTTGACCAATGGAACAATGAAGTCGAGTACTAGTAAGCTACAGTGGAGCGACATATGCTAGCAGAAGGAAAATGATGCTACTATTCCTCAGACTAACGAGCAGGCTCCAGTGCACAAAGACAAAGAAAGGAAGTGGGCAGGACTGTTCGAGAAACATAGACTTGCGTCCAAAGGTATGAATCTCTCTTACATTCCACCAGTAATTCAGGATGGTGAAATTGTTGTTTAATTGGAAGAGGAGGATGTTGCAACTGAAACAGAGAAATGGAATTTAGCCTTAACTGCGTATGTGGTTGGCAATACCGCCTCAATTGGAGCCATGGAGCGATTCATAGCTAGCCAATGGAATTTTGTGGCAAAACCTGAAGTACGCACGCATTCACAATGATGGATACTTTGTTATTCGATTTTCTAGTGCAAAGGACAGAGATGCAGTCTTACTCTCTGGGCCTTACACTTTGTACAATCGACCTATCATACTAAAAGCTTGGTCTGTAGACTTTGATTTCAATGAGGAAGTACTACGGATCATTCCCTTGTGGGTAAAGCTTCAAAACATGCCTTTGAAATGCTCGAGTGAAAGAGCCCTAAGCAAAATTGGGAGTGGATTAGGAAAGCCAATATATGCTGATGAATATACATCTAAAGCTGAGAGGATATCCTATGCAAGGCTCTTGATTGAGATGGATGTAACAAGGCCTTTTCCTGGCACTATCAAAGTATATGATCCTACATGGAAGATTATTGATCAACCATTAGCTTATGACTGGAAGCCACAATATTGTCATGTATGCTGCCAGATTGGCCACAACTGCAAGTCGAACAAAACACTGCAACCAAATGGATAGAAAATACAGTCCAAACAAGATAACCTGAAGCAGGAATGGAAGATATCTCGTAAACCGGATCATACAGTTGATAATCATATAGATGCACATGGTAGATTCATTGACAATATTATCCAATCACCAAAAGAAATAGCAGAAAAACAATATAATTGGAGAATGGGATAGGGCTAGTAAGAAATCTGCAGTGAAAGCAAGCAGAAAAAAATAGCCAGACCAAAGGGTAGCTATACCAAACTGCTTCACGCCACTACGTGACCTCACACAATTACCAATCCAGAGTAATGGTAGTATACATGAGAACGGGCAGAGCAGTGGTACTGTGAAGAATGATCAGAACATTCATAAAACCAATAGATAAATTTTATAGCCTGGAATGTTAGAGGAATAAATAGGTTTATAAGCAGAAAGAGCTTAGAACCTTTTGCACAGAGAATAAAGTAGTTCTGACAGTAGTTATAGAAAATAGAGTGAAAGAACAAAATGCTCCAAAAACTATGCAGAAGATAGTAGCAGGATGGCAATGGATAGACAACGATAATACTGATCGAGGAGGTATATCATGGGTGCTATGGGATCCAAGAGTTGTGGAGTTCACTGTTGAAAGAATACATGCGCAGGTCATTCATGGTCATGTCAAGATGTTGCAACTCAATACAGGATTTTAATTAAATGCAGACTATGGACTGCATACCATTAATAACAGGAAGGAATTGTGGCAAGAGTTACAGACTATTGCTACTCAAATGTCAGGGCCTAGGGTGATGATGGGAGATTTCAATCCAATACTATCTATGGAGGACAGACTATATGGTAATCCAGTCCAAGAGGTTGAGGTGATTTCAAGGAATTCCTGCAGCAATCTGGTATGATGGAACAGAAATCAGTAGGGAGATATTACACTTGGACAAATCACCAAATACATAACAAGATCGACATAATATTGGTGAATGTAGAATGGATTTGTAAGTGGCCTCATCTGGAAGGGGTCATTATGGACACATACTTCTCTGATCACTACCCTTTGAGGATCCCTTTTGAGATTGTCAAGGAAACAGGAACAAAGACTTTCAAGTTCTTCAATTACCTAGTTGAACATCAGGACTTCATGCAGGCTATGGAAACTAGCTGGAGAAAGCCTAGCAACCTGCACTCTATGCAAATGGCCTGGCTAAAATTCAAACAGTTGAATGGTGAGATGAAAAGACTAGTAAGAAGGGAGCCTGGCAAGGTTGAAGATAGAATAGCACAAGCAAGAGAGAAGCTGAAAACTATACAAATACAAATGAGAGATCCTGCCAGGAGTTTAGAATTAGTGCAAGTTGAAGCAAAAGCAAAAGAAGAGCTTGAGAAATGGTTGATGGTAGAGGAAAGCATAGCAAGCAAAAATCTAGAGTACAGTGGTTGAAACTAGGAGACACTAATACAACCTATTTCCATGCATTCTTAAAGAACAGACAATCACAGAACCAAATAAGGACCTTGAGGGATTCTACAAGACAGCTGCTGTAAAATGCTAATGAAATAGAGGAAGAAATACAAAAGTTCTACAAGGGATTTCTTGGTCAAGTTGCTCATCAGCTCCCAGTGGTGCAACAGGACATAATGCAAAGTGGCAAGGTGGTAACAAGGGACCAGCAGCTAAAGCTCATCAGGCCAATCACAAAGGAAGAAGTGAATGGGGCTATTAAGGGTATTGGTGATCAGAAAGCCCCAAGATGTGATGGCTTCAATGCCTTCTTCTACAAGAGGACATGGCCAGTCATAGGGGAGGATGTAACATTTGTTGTGATTGAATTCTTCAATTCAGGAAGTATGTACAGACCCATAAATTGCATAACAATCACATTGATCCCTAAGGTCAAACACCTCTCTAACATAAAGGAGTACAGACCAATTTCATGCTGCACTGTGCTCTACAAGATCATTTCTAAAGTTCTAACAAACAGAATGCAAGGGATAATGGACCACCTGATTGATAGTTGCCAAACTGCTTTTGTTCTTTGGAAGGTTAATTGGGGATAACATCATCATGGCACATGAACTAGTTAACGGCTATGAGAGGAAGGATATTTCACCTGGATGCATGCTAAAAATTGACATGCGGAAGGCATATGATTCCTTAGAATATCCATACCTACAACAAATTTTGAGGCTGATTGGATTTCCAGAAATATTTGTTGCTTGGATAATGGAGTGCATCACTACTGTTACTTATTCTATCATTATCAATGGCAAGCCTTTACAGCTATTTGCAGTCAGGAAGGAATTGAGACAGGATAACCCCCTCTCCCCTTACCTATTTGTACTAGGAATGGAGTACCTAAGTCGACTAATGAAGACCTTGAAGACAATCAAAGGTTTCAGATATCATCCTAGGTGTGCTAAGTTCAACTTGGTCCAGCTTGGGTTTGTAGATGACCTCTTGCAATTCTGCAGAGGAGATGTTCAGTCAGTACATGCTTTACATGATAAGTTTCAAATGTTCTCTAAAGTATTAGGACTAATAGCCAACCCCAACAAAAGCTCAATCTACTTTGGAGGTGTCTGTCAGAATTCTCTAGGGTTGATTATGGAGGCTTTAAACTTTAGAAGAGGAGAGCTACCCATTAGTTACTCACGTATGCCCCTAAGTACCAAGAGACTGTCGATTCTGCAATGTGAGCCCTTTATTGAAAAGATGATGGAAAAAATAACCTCGTGGACAACTAAATTCCTCTCATATGCTGGCAGAACACAACTGATCCTGAGTGTATTATATGTTATTCAAACTTTCTGGGCTCAAGTGTTCATTCTTCCGAAAAAAGCTTGTCCAGTTTATAGAGACAATCTGCAGAAAGTTCCTATGGACATGCATTGCTGAATTCGCAAGGAAGTCCTTAATTGCATAGGATAAAATATGTGCTCCTAAAGCAGCTAGTGGCCTCAATTTTCTATATGTTAACCGCTGGAACCAAGCAGCTATAGGGAAATTACTGTGGCATGCATACAGGAGAAAGGAAAAGCTTTGGGTCATTTGGTTCCACACATACTATATAAAAGGGAAATCAGATTGGAATATTGACCCTAAGAATGCATCATGGGTGGTATAATAGATTTTCAAGGTGAGACACTACCTAGAAGAGGCAAGCTACACCCACAATGATATCCAACAATTGAACAAATACTCAGTTAGAGAGGTGTACCACTATGGGTGTCTAACGGGTGGGCCGGGCCGGGCTGGGTAGGAAAATTTAGGAACCGTACGGGTTGGGGTCCGGGACGGTTACGGGTTGGGGCTTACCGGGTTTAACGGGTTCGGGTTCATCTGGGTAAAAAATGAACCGTAAGGGTTACGGGTACAAGGGGCCAGGCCGGGCCGGGTTAGTGTAATTTTTAATTTTTTTTGTATTTTGTATAACTATTGTAAGTTATATTAATATAAAGTAAAAATATAAAGAATACAATGATGATGGGAAAAAATTTCACTTATAAATTGCAAGTGCTCCATTTATTTTAAAATTCAAACTTACAAATTGAAAGGTTTACATTTAACAACAAGTAAATTAACCAAAAAAGAGTAAATTCAAAGGTTTTGCATTGCCTTAGTAAGTTCGTCATAATCAATATGAACTGAGTGGCCTTCTTCTGGAGTGTTAAATTTGGATGGGTTACCATGTGTTAATATATCTCCAAGTTCCTCGTCTTCTGGGCTATCAACATCTTCATGTCCTTGATTTCTTTGTTCCGATCTAATCCAATCTCTGAAACATACTAAAACTTCCAAAGCATTGCTTCCCAATGAGTGACGGGTGTCTCCAAGTTGTTGTCTTGCTTGGCTAAATGCACTCTCTGATGCAACAATTGAAATTGGCACATTCAGCACGTCCCGAGCCATAGCGGAAAGAACAGGAAATTGCTTTCCATTCTCATGCCACCATCCTGACGGTGAAAATTCCTTTGTGCGAGGCTCTTTTTGCTTCTGCAAGTAGAATTGAAGTTCATCAATGTTCCTGCTACTGGTTTTAGTGTTAGAAAATGTAGAAAAAATATTAAAACTATCAAGGCCTTCATCATCATCCACAGTATTAGAAGTGGTACAGTGAATAGTGGATTA